CTTTGATCTCTGCTTTGGGGGGCGCAGGCAGTTCTGCAAGAGAAGCTACTCTGATCTTGGTGAGTGGAGGGAGGCCTTGAGGCTTTGGTGTAAGGGTTCCCAACCTTTTGAGAGTGGGCTCGGCAGACTTGTATTCATCTGACACATGAAGGAACCAAGGGGTGGGATGACTTAAAGTCATTATTGGGATGGGAGGTGGCTGGCCATCTGAGGACTCTGTGGTTGGGAAGTGTGGTCAGAGACCTTGATGTTTGTCTGTCTTTCTCTACCTTTATAGACTCCAACTGGGAAGACTTTGACCCTGCTCCTGTAAAGAGCAAATTTGATTCTCTTGACTTTGACACATTATTGAAACAGGCCCAGAAGAACCTCAGGAGGTAACCCTGGGCCCTTCTCCCCTTCCCCCTTTTTTTGGAGGTGTCCAACCATCTCCAACCCCCTTCCCCACTCTAGGGGAGAGAGCTGCTAGTGAGGAGATGACTGTTTTATAAAGAAATGGAAAAAGTGAAATAAAAAAATGTGTTAAATCAGATTTTTTAAAAGGGTATTTGTTTTTATAACAGGTATTGAAACAAGTTAATTTGCATTCCTATTTGAGATGGATGACATTGAGGGATTCCCCCTGTGTTTGGATGATTAAAGTCACTATGCAGACTAATAAATACGAACTAGAGAGAACATCCATGTGTTGTGCTTCTTTCTTTCTATGGTGTTAATACCAGACATACTCACTTTTCCTCTCAACACAGTGTCACATTTACCTCCATTGAGTTCCTAGGAACCCTCTTTGATCAGGTGCAAAATCCTGTTGGACTTGAAACTTGGCTCCTTGAGTGTTTTGACAGTGAAATTAGTCATCAGGGCAGTGCTTCTCAAACTTTAAAAGGGCATTTGAGCCCTGGCCAGTGTGGCTCAGTTGGTTGTCCTGTGCACCAAAAGGATGCCGATTCAATGCTAGGGCACATACTGGGGATTGTGACTTGATCTCCAGTAGGGGGCCTGCAGGAGGCAGCCACTGGATGTTCCCTCTCAGTTTCTCAGAGGGTGGGGTGGGCAGCATTTGAACCCTGGACAGTGTTGCTAGGTGGTTAGAGCATTGCTCAGATGTTTTAGGAATGCATGCATGTGGATTGACTTCTGGGGAAGAGGGAGATAGATGTAGGAGTTATATCTAGGAGAGAGGAATGCCTATTTTGAAAAAGACAAAGAAGTGTGTCCCCTGAAAAAGTACATCCTTACCCTTTTTTGAGGGGCATTAATGGGAAGTAGTCAAAGTATAGTGTATGGGATTGAAGGGATTCTTGTCTGTTGCTAATGTAAACAAATATGATAGAGTTTGAAATTGACTTGTCAGGCCTGGGCATTAGAATATTTGAGTATTCATGACAAAGGGGGAAACAATTGGGTAGTTAGTTTTCCAGTTTTCTCATGGGGCGAGTTCACAGTATAAACTGTCAGGACTGTGGTTTGAAGAGATTGCTGCTGCATCATTCAGGTTTGGTGCACAACCCCTTTTACCTTCATGGAGCTGACTTGACTGAATAAGTAAGTGGGGGGCCCAGCTACCCTGTCGCTATAAAGGGAAGGCAGGCCTAGCTGGTTTGGCTCAGTTGATAGAGCATCGGCCTGCAAACTGAAGGGTCCTTGGTTCGATTCCAGTCAAGGGCACATGCCTGGGTTGCAGGCTTGATTCCCAGTGTGGGACATGCGGAAGGCAGCCCATCAATGATTCTCATCGTTAATGTTTCTATCTCTCCCTCTCCTTTCCTCTCGGAAATCAATAAAAAATATTTTTAAAGAAATAATAATTTTAAAAAATGGAAGGCAGGCTGTGTGCTCTCCACGCTTGGTCTGCTGCTTTGCATCCACTTCCATCGATTCTTAATGGTTGCGGGCACATCCCCAGTGGGAGATGTGCAGGTGGCAGCTGATCGATGTTTCTCTCTCATCGATGTTTCTAACTCTCTATCTCTCTCCCTTCCTCTCTGTAAAAACTCAATAAAATATATTTTAAAAAAAAAAGAAATAATAATTTTAAAAAATGGAAGGCAGGCTGTGTGCTCTCCAAGCTTGGTCTGCTGCTTTGCATCCACTTCCATCGATTCTTAATGGTTGCTCATCAGGCCTCAGGTGACAAAATGGTGAAGCAGATCAAGAGCAAGTATGCTTTTGAGGAAGCCTTGAACAGTGCAAGAGATAAACTTGTAGTACCTGACTTCTCAGCCACATGGTGTGGGTTTGGCAAAATGATAAAGCTTTTTTTTCATTTCCTCTCTGAAGTATTTCAGTGTGGTATTCCTTGAAGTAGATGTGGATGACTATTAGGATGTTTCTGCAAAGTGTGAAGTCAAATGCATACCAACCTTTCAATTCTTAATCCTCACCTGAGGATATTTTTTCCTTTTTTTTTTTTTTTTTAGCAAGAGTGGAAGGGAGTGGGGAGACAGAGAAACATTGATATAAGAAAGATGCATTGACTGGTTGCCTCCTGCACATGCCTCAAATGTGCTGGGGATTGATCCTGCAACCGAGGTAAGTGCCCTTGACCAGAATCGAACCTGAAACCCTTCGGTCCATGGGCCGACGCTCTAACCACTGAGCAACTGGTCACGGCCAACCTTCCAGTTTCATTTGTTTGTTTGAAATATATTTTTATTGATTTAAGAGAGGAAGGGAGAGGGAGAGAGAGAGAGACACATCAATGATGACAGAAACATTGATCGGCTACCTCCTGCACGCTCTCGTCTGGGGATTAAGCCTGCAACCTGGGCATATGCCCCAATCGGAATTTGAACCGTGACCTCCTGGTCCATAGGTCACACTCAGCCACTGAGCCACGATGGCTGGGCTGTTTGTTTTTTAAATATATTTTTATTGATTTCAGAGAGGAAGGGAGAGGGGAAGAGAGAGAAACATGAATGATGAAAAAGAATCATTGATGGGCTGCCTCCTGCATGCCCTCTACTGGGGATCGAGCCTGAAACCTGGGCATGTGCCCTAGACCAGAATTGAACCCAAGACCCTTCATTCCGCAGGCCACTGAGCCAAACCATGTAGGGCTACAAAAGGTCAAAAGGGTGAGTTTTCTGGAGCTAATAAGGAAAAACGAAGTCACCATCAATGAATTAGTTTATTCATGTTTTCTGAAAACAGTTATCAGTTTTTGAAATTTTTTTTACTTACATAAAAGAAAGATCAAGCATAGAGACTATATACTCCACTACCATCTGAATATAAATGACAACAAAATATTAGTTATACCATTAAAAATAAGTGGAGGATAGGGTTTCATGGGCAGGACATGGATGGGGGTAGGGGGGTGGGGCAGTTTTGTTACTGGAAAGGGGACCTGGCCCTGAGTCTGCCTGCCTTGGACCAGCTGGTAGCGTGTGGGTTCTTTGTACAGGAAAGATTTCATAGCACAAGTCCAGGTGATTCACTGCAGTGGTTCTCAAACTTCTGGCCCTTTAAATACAGTTCCTCATGTTGTGACCCAACCATAAAATTATTTTCGTTGCTACTTCATAACTGTCATGTTGCTACTGTTATGAATCGTAATGTAAATATCTGATATGCAGGATGGTCCTAGGCGACCCCTGTGAAAGGGTCGTTCAACCACCAAAGGGGTCTCGACCCACAGGTTGAGAACCGCTGTTTTAGAGGATGTTGAAACGGAACAGTGAAACGGAAGGGTGTAGGATAGAAGAGGGCCACAATGGGTTCTTAAACTGGACCGGAGGGCTGGAACAAAAGCATGGATGGAGTGTTTGTGTGAACTAATATAAATTCAAAGTAAACATCATTACATAAAAGGGTACTGTCTTTTTTTTTTTTTAGTTTTATTCATTTCAAATCAAACGGGCCGGATCCGGCCCACGGCTGGACTAGACAGTGAAATGAGCCTAGACTGGGCTGCTTTGGCTCACTAAGAAGTCAGAAGAAAGGGGGCCTTTGGGACAGGTTCAGGGCCCATTGCTCCCTGGATGCAAGTCTTGTGGGAGTCCCTTAGGACCTGCATGCCTGTGGGGGAAGAAGAGCGGGAGGGGGAAGGTGAGGTGTGCTGCCTGGAGGGAGACTGCACTGTGGTATCTTCATTTTGAAGGTTTTAAAGGCTGGGAGTTTTAGGGAGGTGTTATAGGATGAGCTCAATAGATTATTAGTTCTATGCTGATGTTCCAAAATTAGATTTATTCCCTTAACTTCATCTGCCCTTGGGTGTAGTAGGCACAAATGGCACTAATAGGATCTCTGCTATCTATCTCCTGAGTAGGGTGATTTAGGCTATTTACCCTCTGGCTGGGGAGAGGTGCCACCATTACATTCCTGTCAAGTGTCCTTGGTTTAGCGAAGATAGGATTTTGCCATTTGCTAGATGGCTGTAAACTACTTGGTGACTTCACCATCTGCCCGTTTCCCTATTCTTGTTCTGGCTTACTAGCCTCAGTTTGGGGGATCAACACCCCATCTTGACCACAGATGATCTGCAGGAACCTCTGCAGTGAAGGTGGGAGCCCCACAGGCTGGGGTGGTATCTGAGAAAGGGTCGCTGTGGGTGTGGGAGGCAGTGAGATGGAAGGTGGGGATCCACTGGCAGAGCGGGTCGGGGCGTCTGGAGATCTGTGACCAAGTCCAGGCGGTCCCAGGACAGCTCGAGCCCGCCGGTCCACTCACTTCCCTGAAAGGCTAATCCCGAACGAGGAGCAGGAAACGCCGCGGGAGGACAGCTGCCTCGGGAGAAAGGGCAGGGAAGTCCGCCGTTTTCCCGCCACTGCCGAGGGCGTGACCCCTGACGTCAGGCTCCGCCTTCGCAAAGTGGCGGGCGGCGGGCTCCGCCCTTACCAAGATGGCGACACGTGGGAACGGAAAGAGCTTACAGATTTTGCGTAGATCCTGCCTCCGAGGTGGAGGCGGGACATCCCTGCGGAGTGCGCCCGCCCCTTCCGCTGTGCGCCCGCGCGGCGCGATGACGTAACACGCTCCGCCCCGACCTCTCTGGCTCCCTGAGTTCCTGAGTCGTGTGCATCGGCAACGGTAGTGACGCGTGTTGCCCGGAGGATGGCGGCCGCCGGCTTACCCCGCGTGGTTCCCAGCGACCTGTATCCCCTCGTGCTCGGCTTTCTGTGCGACAACCAACTCTCGGAGGTGGCCAATAAGTTCGCCAAGGCAACAGGCGCTGTGAGTCCCGGACTTGGTTCACGAGCTGGGGTGGGAGGACCACAGGGCTCCGGGCCCAGCCATGGTTAGGTTTCCAGGTAGAGAGGTCCGTGGGGTCCGCAGCCCAGTGTCTGCGGGGCCTTCGTGCGGGTTTTCGGTGGTGACTGGAGAGAGCCTGGAGTCCGCGAGGTCTTGACGAGGTAGCGCTGAGTCTTGTAGCTTTTTCTCTGTTGAGCGGTGCAGTGGCAGCAGCGTGGGACCCGCGTGGTCCAGATCACGTGGCTGGCGGAGTGGGAGCACCCCAAGAGGGAGTATCCAGTCTCACCGGAGGCTTTGGAAGCTCCTGGTTGCTGCTTTTGGCTTTAGTAGTTGGTGGAAAGCGTGACGACCTTAACTCTCAATCGGATTTACTGGGGAGTCAAAGATACATAAAATGCTTTAGAAGGGTGGGATTTTCCGTAGTAAAGAAAATGAACGAGAGTAGAGGCAGGATTTTGCTGTTCGTTACGCTGAAGTAGCGTTGAGCATCATAGTTCTACCGTGCGGGCATAACAATGAGCTTGGATCTTTGACTTGTGGAATCAAATATAGGATTGGGACCAGGCTTTGTCATTCATTTAAAGACGTATAACTGGGGCAGCTTGATTAATCTGAGTGTTCCTATTTCTATGGGGAAGTCATCATACATTTTATAGGATTTTTGTGAGTTTTAGTAATATATACAAAGTGGCAATCCCATCCAGTGCCTGGTGCTCATCAGTGAGTGAAAGCCTTTAGCATTGGGTTAGTAACTTAGGATGTTCAGAAGACATGTGAAAGGAAGATGACTAGGAACGTGAAAGGTTTGGAATCTACATCTCAAGAAAAGCAGACATGATTGCATGGGCAAACACCTTGAGAGAAGATAGAATCTTTGGGAGTCTAGGTCTTTTTTCTTTCTTATTTTTTTTTTTTTTAACTTTTATTGATTTCAGAGAGGAAGGGAGAGGGAGAGAAACATCAATGATGAGAGAGAATCATTAGTTGGCTGCCTCCTGCATGCCCCCTACTGGGGATCGAACCCAGGACCCTTCTGTCCCCAGGCTGACGCTCTATCCACTGAGCAAAACTGGCTAGGGCTCAGAACCAGGACTTTTTTTTTTTTTTTAATTAAATCTTTATTGTATTACATATGTCACCCCCCCCCCATTGACCCCTTCTAGCCTACCTCCACCTCCCCACCCCACCCCTGCCCCAGGCCTTCACCACCCTATTGTCTGTGTCCATGGGTTATGCATATATGTATACAAGTTCTTTGGTTGATCTCTTCCCACCCACCCACTCTCCCCCCACCTTCCCTCTGAGATTCTGCAGTCTGTTCTATGCTTCTATGTCTCTGGATCTTTTTTTTTTCCCATTAGATTCCACATATGAGTGAGATCATGTGATACTTATCTTTCTCTGACTGGCTTATTTTGCTTAGCAAAATCTTTGTGGAGGGCTTAGTAAGGGCCAGATGCTTTTTCCATATTCTAAACACTTTATATGCTTTATCTCTTATCTCAACAATTTAAGATGTATAGTATTACCTTAGCCTTTTATAGATAGAGAATAAACTTGCTTAATTGGACCTGCTTTCTGATTTAGCTAAACTTTTCCCAGCCCAGTGAAACACCCCAACTTCTCTTTCAGGTAATTGTCAGCAACACAGCAGTAAATATCAACAGGAAGCAGATTATTATTATAGATCATGCAGTGGGAACAAAGGGTAAAATATTTAACTGCAGCAGTGTTTGACTATATTCTGTGCAGTGAGAAAACCTGGAGTCATTTTTAAGGTCCACCATTTCTTCTTTTCAGTTGGGTAAAGTTTCTAAACTTTCTAAATCTCTGTTTTCTGGCTAATGAAAAAAAAATAGGATTCCACCCAGTCTCCTATGTACCTACTCCATGACTTCTGTGAGGATCAAATGAGATGAGGCATGGGAAAACGCTTCACAGACATTTGGTTACAGTGTATAATGTTTGCACCTCACTATAAAGCAAGTCATGTTCCTGGGCTGAAGAAACTGCAAGGAGGCTAGTCGCTAGGGAGAGGAAGCCGGGTGTTGCTACTTAATGTCAATACCCTGACAGACATTTAGCATATTTGCATATTAGCCTTTTATATATCTATCTAATCTAATAATAGACTAGCAGGGTAATTGACCATACCTTCGCTACGCCTCCCATTGGCTAATCAGCGAGATATGCAAATTAACACTTCGGTGTCGGGTGAATTTCCCGCCAAAATATAAGATGGCGCGTTAAAATGCCTATATCTTTTGAAGTATGGGTTCGATTGAAATGAAATATTTGGTAATACGCAGTTACAATCGGCCCGAGTTTACACGTTTCCCGCACTCCACCGCAAATCTATATGAACCGAGTTTAAGACGGCTCCCGCAGAGTACGCGCAATTCACGTGAGCCGACTTAACTCGTTTCCCGCAACCCAAGTGTTAACCGCCAACAAAGATGGCAGTTAATTTGCATACATAGGCACGAAGCAGCGGAGTGAAGACTGAAAGGCGGCTCCGGCCAGAGCGAAAGCCTGGGACTCGGGTGCCAGCAGCCAGGGGGAGGGAAGGTGTATTGCACGAATCTTTTCATGCAACAGGCCTCTAGTATATATAGAATGATTTCAGAGAGGAAGGGGGAGGGAGAGAGATAGAAACATCTATTTTTTTTTTTTTAAATATATTTCATTGATTTTTTACAGAGAGGAAGGGAGAGAGAGATAGAGAGTTAGAAACATCGATGAGAGAGAAACATCAATCAGCTGCCTCCTGCACATCTCCCACTGGGGATGTGCCCGCAACCCAGGCACATGCCCCTGACCGGAATCGAACCCGGGATCCCTCAGTCCGCAGGCCGACGCTCTATCCACTGAGCCAAACCGGTTTCGGCTAGAAACATCTATATATATAAAACCCTAATATGCAAATAGACCGAACAGCTGAACTGAATTGGCCTCTATGACATGCGCTGACCACCAGGGGGCGTGTGTGGAACAGGGCAGACATCGGCTGTGGTGGGATGGTGGAGCAGGTGAGCAGGGGCATCAGACCAAGGCGGGACGCTGGTTGCTGTCATTGGGGTGAGCCTCTGGTGGCTATTGAAAATTCTTTGCTCCTGCCCAGTGCTCGCATCCGCTGCTGGCGCTGGTGCCGCTGCTGGCGCTGGTGCCGCCGCTCGCACCCGCTGCCGGCACCCGGCTCCGGTCCCGATCGCTCAGCGCCATCAGCAGGTGCAAGCAGTGGCTGTAGGCCCCGATTGCCCCTCAGAAGCAAGGGGAGGTGGAGAAGCCCTGAGGGGTGCTTGGGGCAGCAGCAGCTGCTTGCACCCGCTGAAGGCGCCGGCCCCACTCACACCTGCTGCTGGCACCGGCCCCAATTGCTCCGCACCGTCAGTGGGTGCAAGCGGGGCCGGCACCATCAGCGAGTGGGAGCAGTGGTAGTGGGAGTGGGGCTGCTGGCAGACGGGACCGGGGGCTGTGGCAGGAGGGGTCAGGCGGGGGTGCAGAGGATGGGCCGAGACCTGCCCCTGTGCCCACCACAGCCTCGCGGCCCACAGTTCCTTTCAAGGTGAATGAATTCGTGCACAGGGCCCCTAGTCAATGATAAGAGAGAATCATTGATCAGCTGCCTCCTGCAAACCCCCTAATGGGGATCGAGCCCGAAACCCGGGCATGTGTTCTCACCAGGCATCAAACTGACCTCCCGATTTTTAGGTTGACACTCAACCACTGAACCACACCAGCAGGGCTGGATGCAGTTTTGTATACATGACATAGCTTTTTACCAATCTTCTCTTGGAGGCTGGTTTCCAGTGATTTGGTATTATAAACCACATTGCAGGAAACACTCTCTTGTATAAATGTTTGTGCCCTTGTTTCATGGGTAAGGGTAAGTTCCTAGATAATGCATTGCTAGAGTGAAAGGAATGCACATTTTTTTAATTTATTATTTTTTTAATTTTCAGAGGAATTTTTCTATTGATTTTTCAGAGAGTGGAAGAGAGAGAGAAAGACAGAAATATCAATGTGAGAGAAACACATCAATTGGTTGCCTCCTGCATGAGCCCCAACCAGGGCCTGGGCCAGGGAGGAGACTGCAATCGGGGTATGTGCCCTTGACTGAAATCGAACTTGGGATGACACTTTGGTTCCGCAGGCTGATGCTCTATCTACTGAGACAAATCAGCTAGGGCAGGAATGCACATTTTATAAAGGCTTTGATAAACAGGATTGACAGGTGGTCGATAGATGGTGTCAGAAACTATAGGAATATCCCAAGTTTTTGATAAGTATTGATTGGGAAATACATAAGTAAAATGTTTTCCTTTTTTTTTCTTTTTGTTAACCCTCACGAGGATATTTTTCTATTGATTTCCAGAGAGAGTGGAAGGGAGAGGTAGAAACAGAGATAGAGAAACATCTATGTGAGAGAGACACATCGATTGGTTGCCTCCCGCATGCACCCTGACCAGGGCCGAGGATTGAGCCTGCAACCAAGGTACATGCCCATGACTGGAATTAAACCCAGGACCTTTCAGTCCACAGGCTGACATTCTATCCACTGAACTAAACCAGCTAGGGCTATTTTTCTTCTAATTTGTGCAAGTAAGAGAAGTTATGAAAGCTATAACTTTTTAAAAATCCTCATCTGAGGACATGCTTAGAGAAAGAGAGAGAGAGAGAGAGAGAGAGAGAGAATCGTTGAACGGCTGCCTTCCATACGTGCCCTGACTGGGAATCAAACCCACATCCTGGGCGTGCACTCCCAACTGAAGATCAAACTGGCAACCCTTTGGTGCACAGAACGATGCTCAACCAACTGAGCCACTGCCACTGGGCTGAAGCTGTAACATTTATATGAACTATGGCAGGGGTCCTCAAACTATGGCCCGCGGGCCACATGCAAATACAAATACTGTATTTGTTCCCGTTTTGTTTTTTTACTTCAAAATAAGATGTGCAGTGTGCATAGGAATTTGTTCATAGTTTTTTTTTTAAACTATAGTCCGGCCCTCCAACGGTCTGAGGGACAGTGAACTGGCCCCCTATTTAAAAAGTTTGAGGACCCCTGAACTATGGTAATCCTATATAATAAAAGGCTAATATGCAAATTGACTGAACGGCAGAACAACCGAATACCCAATGCAGGAGCTGCCCCCTGGTGGTCAGCCAGAAGCTGGGCTCACGGCTGGCGAGCAGCGGTGGTGGGCTAAGAATGTCTGTCTGACTGCTCCCGGTGCGAGAGGGCGCAGGCCGGGCTGAGGGACCCCCCCACCCCCGAGTGCACTAATTTCGTTCACCGGGCAACTAGTAGGTAATAAAACAGGTCACTTTTAAGAAAAATGTTTTTATTGAGTTTTGAGAGAGAGAAACATTATTGTCATCAGAAACATCAATTGGTTGCCTCCTGTATGCACCCCGACCAGGGATCAAATCCACAACCTGGGTATATGCCCTGACTGGGATTCAAACTGGTGACCTTTCTGTGCACGGGACGATGCTTAACCAACAGTCATACCAGCCAGGGCAAAGCGGGCCATTTTTAACCAGACAATAACAAAATCTGATCTCCCCTAGAATAACCAGGATAAATTTTTCTTACCCAGCTCTTTGTCTTTTCTCCTAAAGACCCAGCAGGATGCCAATGCCTCTTCCCTCTTGGACATCTATAGCTTCTGGCTCAAGTAAGTCTTTCCTGTACCATTTTGGCTATTTTCTCCCCTCAAGTATACTGGGCTTTGTTTCTTGGTTTGGGAAGGTCCTGGTCACCCAGAAGTTAGCCTGGTCTACCTCAGTAGGTCCACCAAGGCTCCAAAGCGGAAATTACAAGCAAATGGACCAGTGACTAAGAAGGCTAAAAAGAAGACTTCGTCCAGTGACAGCAGTGAAGACAGCAGTGAGGAGGAGAAAGCCCAAGGACCTCCAGCTAAGAAAGTTGGTAAGACCGGGTAGGGAGTTGGGGTTAGCAGTTCAAGGAAAAGGATTTGTAGTCTGCCTATACTGCCTAGCTGATTCTTAGTGGGACCTGTGCTTTTGTTCAGCTGTACCTGCCAAGCGTGCCAGTCTACCTCAGCATCCTGGAAAGGCTTCAGCCAATGCATCAGAGAGTAGCAGCAGTGAAGAATCCAGTGATGATGAGGAGGAAGAGGAGGACGAAAAGAAAAAGCCTGTCCAGGTTTGCAGCTTGGGAAGGAACGGGGTTGCTTAAGGGATCAGGAAGAAGAAACCTAAAATCTTGGCTTCTAGCTTGTGATCAAGAGCTGGTGGTGGGCAGGTGATTATGGGGCAGAAAATCTGGGGACTTGCAGAGATGTGATAGAAGCATGAAGCCTGAAAAGGATATGTGAGGTTGAAGTTAGACTCGGAATCTAGAGTAAATCAAGACAGGTATTGGGTTTCCCTGGGACACTGTCTAGAACTTCAGGGGTAAGGGAGTGTGTTTTGTATACAGATGTTGGGAGCTCCAGATAGAGAATGGCAGGGACAGGGTAGTAGGTTGTGTGGCTGAACTTTTTGTTTATTAAGAGTTTGTTGTCCTTTTCATGTCATGTCCTGCTTAGCTTTCCCTCGCCCCTGCTGCTCTGTTAGCCCCTAAAAAGTAAAAGCCGATGAAACTTTTTACCTTAAGATGCTCCTGGATACCCAGAAGCTCTTGCCTAGTCTCTCCATTGTGTGTTTTCTCACAGAAGGGAGTTAAGCCCCAAACCAAGGCGGTCAAAGCTCCTCCTAAGAAGGCCGAGAGCTCTGATTCTGATTCTGACTCAAGCTCAGAAGATGAGGCACCAAAGAACCAGAAGCCAAAGGCAACACCTGTGGCAGCTAAAGCTCAGGCTAAAGCCCCAGGCAAACCAGGTACTATTTCTGTTTCTGTTTCTAAAAGGCCAGGCTGGGGACCAGCTTGCTCTGTGGATAGGTATTTAAATTGCTTTTTCAGCACAAGGGTGAAATGGTACTGGTGGTTGAACCAGAGATATTGATTAGTGTTATATTTATATTGATTTTAGAGGGGGGGGGGCAGGGGGAGAGAGAAACATCCATTTGTTGTTCCACTTGTTTATGCATTCATTGGTTGCTTCCTGTATATGCTCTGACCAGAGATTGGACCCGCAACCTTGGTGTATTGGGATGATGTTCTAACCAACTGAGCTTCCTGGCCAGGACCTAGTTTATAGTTTTTAAAAGATGCTATTAATGAGTAAAATATTTCATAATTAGGGGCTAGTAACTAGAGAAACAGTTTGTTGGCAAGGGAAAATGTATTTTAAGAAATGGTATCAGTTTGTCATTTTTTAGTTGCATTACATAGACATTTTATGTTCCCACAAATCCCATTTTACTATGACCACTTGCACCCCTATTCCTTGTTCTTTTCACTACCATTTTTCCTCCTAAACCTTCATGCCATAGGACAAGTGAGAAGATTTATTCTATAATCTTCCTGTAGTGAAGGTTAGATTATGATTTATAGGCGCTTCTCTGGAAGTTGGAATAAAAGACTTCAGGGGCATATTTAAATTATTTGTCAAGGGCATGTACCTTGGTTGCGGGCACATCCCCAGTAGGAGGAGTGCAGGAGGCAGCTGATCGATGTTTCTCTCTAATCGATGTTTCTAACTCTCTATCCCTCTCCCTTCCTCTCTGTAAAAAAAAATCAATAAAATATATTTAAAAAAAAATAAAGATAGAGTAGTTTTATTCCTTATGTTGGGCAGGAAAAAAGGCCTCCTTGATATAGTAAACCATAGCAGTCTCCTTCATGCCTGCTCTAGAGGCAAGAGAATTGATAAGACTCCCAAGTTCTGAGCTAATAGGATGGAGGTTTTTATGGCCCTTTAATTTCTTGATACTTCTAACACTTTCTTTTTTCTTAGGCACTCCTGCTCGGGCAGCACCTAAAGTAGCTAATGGCAAAGCAGCTAGCAGTAGTAGCAGCAGCAGCAGTAGCAGCAGCGATGACTCAGAGGAGGAGAAGGCAGCAGCCATCTCTAAGAAGGTCTGGACCATAAATTCTACCAGGGAAGAGAGGGGTCTGGGGGTTAAAGGGGCAGTCTCCATTTCCTGGCAGGATTGGTTGGGTCCACATTTTCCTGTGGTAACTGATTTTCTTGTATGATGCAGACTGTGCCTAAAAAGCAAGTAGCAGCCAAGGCTCCGGTGAAAGCAGCTGCCACCCCTACCCAAAAGAGTTCCAGCAGTGATGAGGACTCCTCGAGTGAGGAGGAAGGGGAGGAGGAGCAGAAAAAGCCCATGAAGAAAAAACCAGGTGACCAGATATGGGGAGTCAAGCTACATGACTATTACCAGGGCCCATGTGCAGAAGGACTTCTGTAGTCACCACGTGGACCTCTCCAAAGAACTGCTTGACACGTCTGCTAGTTTCTCCCAGAGAAAGGAGAAAGGCGCTGTATCTTTTATAACCTGGACTTGAAAATGACATGTCAGCATCCCTGCCATATTCTGTGTGTGGAAAATGAGTCACTAATTCTAACCCACACTCAAGGGAAGGGGTTAAACTCCATCAAAGAGTTTGTGTACATATTTTAAAATCACCACACTCTCCCTTTTAAACAGGTCCATATAGTTCAGTGCCCCCGCCTTCTGCTCCCCCACCCAAGAAGTCCCTGGGAACCCAGGCTCCCAAGAAAGCTGCAGAGAAGAAACAGCCTGAAGAGAGCAGTGACGACAGCAGTGATGAATCTGGTGAGTCATCACCAGTGGTGAGTGGGTCTGGGGAGTGTTTGAGAAATAGGAAGATGAAAAAGCTCTTTCCACTGAAGCAAGATAGGACTAAAGCTCCGTGTTTTATGCATCCTTTTTATTACTCCTGTTTGGGTCTGGACTCTGGGCCCAGCCTAATGCCATAAGTTCTCTCCAGATTCAAGCTCTGAAGAAGAAAAGAAACCGCCAGCTAAGCCAGTCATCTCTAAAGCAGCCACTAAACCAGCTCCAGCAAAGAAGGCAGCAGAGAGCTCTTCAGACAGCTCAGGTGAGGCATATGGAGGCCCTCCGAGCAGGGGGCACTCCAGGGGCTCTTCTCAGTCTAATTTGTAATTTGGGGAGCTATTCATTCTACCCTCTTCTTGTCTAGACTCTGACAGTTCTGAGGAAGAAGCTCCTGCCAAGCCAGCCAGTGCCACCAAAAATCCCTCAAGTAGGCCAGCTACCACTCCCAAGCAGCCTGCAGCTAAGACAGCCACAGCTCTCAAGCAGCCTGCAGGCAGTGGCCAGAAGCCTCTGACCAGAAAAGCTGATAGTAGCTCCAGTGAGGAGGAGAGCAGTTCTAGTGAGGAGGAGGAGGATGTGGGGAAGGCGAAGAAGACAGTGGCCACCCCTAAGGCCAAGGTGATGGCCAAAGCAGTGCCATCTTTGCCTGCCAAACAGGCCTCTCAGGGTGGTGGAGACAGCAGCTCTGATTCAGACAGCTCTAGCAGTGAGGAAGAGGAGGAAGAGAAGGCATCTAAGCCCCCAGCTAAAAAGAAGCCACAGAAGACAGCAGGAGCTGTAGCCCCTTCCAAGCCAGCCTCCACAAAGACAGTGAAGGCCAAGAGCAGCAGCAGTTCTTCAGATGACTCCAGTGAAGAAGAGGAGGAGGAGGAGGAGAAGCCCAAGGGCAAGGGTACTCCTAGACCACAAGCCCTCAAAACCAATGGCACCTCTACACCGACCACCCAGAATGGAAAAGCAGATAGGAACAGCAACAAGGAGGAGGAAGGAAAGACAAAGGCAGCAGTAGCAGTTTCTAAGCCAGGTCTGTATCCACAGAAGCTGCCCTTTTGGGTACCCCCCCCCCCCCAATTAGGATGGGATAGATACTCTTGGGGGGATGGCATAGAGAGAGGAGGCATAATGACTAGGTTCCAGTTGCAGGCCCTCAGTGTGGCAACATGGGCAGAGGAACAGGAAACTGGTCTGAGTCTGGCTTTTTGTTTTGTAGGTTTAGGAAAGAAACGAAAGCAGAATGAGGCTGCCACGGAGGCAGAGACTCCTCCAGTCAAGAAGATAAATCCTCAGACCCCTAACACATTTCCAAAAAGGAAGAAAGTAAATTGTCTTCTTTTCCTCTCGGGAGCTAGCCTTTATTTATTTTTTTATTATTAACAGGAGGAAATAAAATTTTAATACATGTGTGGGCAATTCACATATGCATGAAAATTTCAAAGACTGAGGCAACATTGGGTATATAAGCCATATTTGGACAAAGAAGAAGGGGTGGGGTATTATATTTCAGAAGTGAGAATGGGGAGCTAGCCTTTTAAGAGTAGAAAGAAGAATCTGGAATCATTTTGATAGCTCTCTGCCTGTCCTGGCAAAGGTGCACATGTGTGTAGCTTAGGAGGGCTTTTCTGTCACCTGACCACTCCGTCTTTAATTTGGTACTTCGTTCTTATCCAGGCAGAAAAAAGGGCATCATCCCCATTCCGAAGGATCAGGGAGGAGGAAATTGAGGTGGATGCTCGAGTGGCAGACAACTCCTTTGATGCCAAGGTGAGGAGAGGGAGTCACCATTCTTGAGCAGTGTTGGGTGGAAGAGAGGACAGTTTTGCTTCAGATTGGTGGGAAACTCCCTGGGTTCAGGTTGCCTTGAGAAGGGACAAGAACGTGACAGGGCCCTGGTGTCCTATGTGTTGACCACCTCTCTCTACTCACCAGCGCGGTGCAGCCGGAGACTGGGGGGAACGAGCCAATCAGGTCCTGAAGTTCACCAAAGGCAAATCCTTCCGGCATGAGAAGACCAAGAAGAAGCGGGGCAGTTATAGGGGAGGCTCCATCTCTGTCCAGGTTAATTCAATTAAGTTTGACAGCGAGTGACCTGCGGTGATCCTAGCAAAGCAGGGGTGATGATCCAAGACTACTTACTTTCCCCAGTGGACCTAGGAGCTCTCAGCTCTATTAGGGGAGGTATTGGTGAGGACAGCAGCCTAGAATAGGTCTGAAGACATTGTATCGGAACATCCTCTCTGGTCCTTTCTGTGTTCGTAGTTTTGTACAGACTTGTTTGTGAGTGTTGAGTAGCAAGGACAAGGTAAGGGGAGTGTTCTTTTTAAATAAAAATTAGTTTTAGTTGTCATCCCCTTCTCCCTGTTCTGTGGAAGTCCTCATGCTGAGAAATTTGTATATTTTCTATTGAATCATTTCCTATTGATTTTTGTTGTGATTTTCAGAGGTGTGTTCCCATAGATAAAAGCTATTGCCCAAGACATAGTAAAGGTTACGTGTGAATTTTTATAATTGGAGAATTCTGCCTATGTGAGTGCACATGTCCACATTTCATCCCTCCTATTACTCAGCCCTGGTGAGGGGCAGTTGAGAATGGTTAATGTATATGTCTGTTAAGCATGCACTATGTAGTTCTTCCTCATTCATGCGGTCTAAGACTGACGTTTTCAGCCAGCATGGACGTAGCTACTTTGGGGGATAAAATTAACTGTTTTGTTACAGGCAAAATTATGGTGTGTGAATGCTGTGGAGTCAGTCTGAATATCTTGTTTTCTGTAATTTTATCACTATTACGGAATATTTGCAATACCTGTTTTTTAATTTGAAAGCATAAACTTTTTTATTGTTCAAAAGACTTGTTTTGGTGACTTGACCTTTAACAGTGTTGAGTACTAAATTGAAAACTGCATCATCTGATTTTTTTATATTTTAGAGAACAAAATAACATTAATCTGGAAAGTACATATCACTTGGTATGTCTATCTTAGTAGCAATACTGACACAAAATTAGTTTCAATAACTCCTGTGTGGTTGGGAATCATTGATTAAGAAAGTGAAAGAAGAAAAATAACCTCAATCCTCAGTAGGAATTAGATTACATTAGGTAAATTTATAGGTCACCTATGTATGTGCTAATGAAAATGGGAAGAACCTTTACAATGCATATTATCTGGTAAAACTTGAATAGAGTGGGTTTGGGAGAGCATCCTAATAGGATTAATGTGTCTTGTAGTTGCTATGTGGGAGCAAGTGATGTGCCCCTTTCAGAACCTTAACTGTCCGTAACAGTGGAGGGGACGATAAAAACCAGTGAGCAGCGCTATGGTAGGCTAAGCTGGCTGATGGTAAAGCTGCAGGTCATGCTGCCTGTGCTCAGCCAGAGCACAGTGGAGAAGGAAGAGTCAACAAACTGGAGACTGGGCTGTCCTGTGGTGGGAAGGTGTGCTCCAGTTTCATGGGCAAGGTATAGGTCCTGAAGTTAACTTCCCCTTTTTTGGATTCCATACTCTCCAAATAACCTGATAATAACCTGGTTTTCCATGTAACTGCCTCTAGGTAGGAAACGCACTGTTCATGCTGACATAGGTGTTTCAGTCTGCATGGTAAAGTTATACATCTTACTACAAAATAATAAACTGGTTGGTTTCTAATGTGTCATGGAGTTTTATTGTGAGTCCAAAGCTCTCCTACCTCCTATTCACACCAAAACAACTTGGGTGCCAGTTAAAGGGCTGGGATCCACACCTCTGAGTTCACTACAGAGCCTTCTTGGGGTTGGCCATACCTCATCTCTTGGTGCCTTTTCCAGGCAGTAGTCCAGCCAGTGTGTAGTCTAAATTGGGGTTGGCAAAATGGCCTATGGGCCAGATCCAGCCCACGGCTTGTTTGTGTATTACTTAAAGGGCTTAAAAAAAAAAAAAAAAGAATGACAAACTTCATGTGACCCACAAAGCCTACAGTATTTACTATTTTACAGACAAAGTTTGCTACCCCTTGGTATAAATCAGTGATTTCATAACATCAGCTGAAAATTAGAATCATCTGGGGTACTTCTAAGAACACTGGTAGCCATCCAGGGGCCCATTCCCAGACTGGTTGAGTCAGATGCTGGTGTTCTCTGGTGAGGCCTGTTCGCTTCCAGGTGATTCTAACAAACAACCAGTATTGAAATCCACTGATCTAAGAGGATCTGAAAAATATTTTTTCTTTCCTCTCATGGTTCCATTAACAAATGTCCTTGTTAAGTCTGTATAAATATCTTAAAATAAATACAATATATATGCATTAACTTTTCTACTTAGATGAATAATTTGTAAGTGTACTGCTTATTGTTTAAAGCTATGACTTATTTTTTTCTTTTGCATTTTATAAACACCTTTCCCAGTCTTGTTTGCTTTTTTAACTTAACAGACCTCCTTTCCCCTTAGGCCTGAAACTGCTACATATATGCAGCTAATGTGTTACACAAATGAGGCAGTTTAGCAAATTGTCTAACAGCATTTAATGGGAAATTACTTAACGTTTCTGAGTTGGCTTTCATATTTAAAATGAGAGTAGCCGAAACCGGTTTGGCTCAGTGGATAGAGCGTCGGCCTTCGGACCGAAAGGTCCCAGGTTCGATTCCAGTCAAGGGCATGTACCTTGGTTGCGGACACATCCCCAGTGGGAGATGTGCAGGAGGCAGCTGATCGATCTTTCTCTCTCATCGATGTTTCTAACTAACTCTCTCCCTTCCTCTCTGCAAAAAATCAATAAAATATATATTTTTTAAAATAAAATAAAATGAGAGTATTATCTCATCTGTAAAATCTGACTACTCTGAAGGGTTGTAAGGACGGAGAATTTAGAGCATTTAGCACGGTCCCTGGCACGTTGTAAGCACTCCGTGACTATCACTTGGATAATAAAAGAGGATTTTGGAAATGACTTTTTTTGGTGTCCTTGTGATGTGCAACATGCCATTTCATCAGTGACTCAAATAGGAACAGAGTCAATGACAATTTTTTTTTGTCATTTGTTTAGTATCTTTATTCATGATGCCAAGGATTGACATGCAGAATCGATCTTGTTTATTAGAAACTTTAGTTTTATGAGGGATCTGAAATTCCCACCTACCACTGATGGGTCCTGGCACTATTGCTGAAATCCACAAATTCAGTGAGTCACACACAACTCATAGTTTTGTGCTGCACAGGTTATATTCTGACTGCAACCCAACTTTTTTAGGGGGATATTAACTAAATCAGGGTTTCTCAATCTCGATATTTCCATTTTGGGCCAGATCATTCTTTTTTTGTGGAGGATTGCCCTGTGTGTTGTATGTGGAGCAGCATCCCCCAGCATGGATACCCAAAGTGCTATATAATTCCCTGGAGGCAAATTATACCTAGTTGAGAACTACTGGGACTAGCTGAGTATAAAGTGATTTGCTTAGGGTTGATAACTGCAATTTAGTGGCACATGGAGACAAGAATCCAGGTCTCTGTCTGAAAATCAGCCTGTCTGTGTACCAGCCATAGAGCTCCAAGAGAGCTCAGTGTCTAAAGGGGGAAGTTGGACATGGGAACAGTTCTGTGCAGTGTGCTGAGTCCTGTCACCAAGGGCCAGAGTAGCACTGCAAAGGGGACAAGCAAGAAAATCCTGACCTTGGTTCAGGATCCCGAGGAGAGGAACAGCTTAATTTACCATGCAAGGAAGAGGACATTTTTCAGTGGGAGAGGAGGCCTTTTTTGGATGGATCAAGAGGGTGTGTAGAAGGTAGGGGCAAGATAATGCTAAGTCTGACTCAATGAAGATTCAATACCCATGGCCAAGGCAGGGATTAGTACTTTATTTTGTCCCCCTGGGTATTTTAGGGGATTGATAGTCCAATGCAATGTTCCTGGTGCTAATACAGCTGCCAGGAAAGCAAAGTTCCTGCTGATCACTTGAGTTTTCACCTGCGCCCTGCAGAGCCTGCTTAAGCTGTCTGCAGTTTCTGAACAGGCCAGTAGGTGGGGCTTTTGCCCACTGCAAGGAGCTGAACTAGACCAGTTAAAAAGCCTTACATTGTCATTATTCCAGTTACATTCAACAAACTCAGAATCTGCCATGAGTTTTTGGATACAAGCCATGAGGTGAATTAAGACATAGGCCCTCATTTGAGGACCCTTGTTCTGGAGTGGAGAAAGGCCCTTCTGATTATGAAAGCTTGGCTTGTAGAGGGTGTTCACCATGGAACCTCCAACTTTCCTCTCAGGTTCTACAGGGCCCTGGAGTTCCCACAAGGGGGGTCAGCCACAGGTCCCCACTGCAGACCTGAGCCTTCCTAGGTCTGGATGCTCAGAGGCCATGGCACTTTCCCATCTTCCCTTTCTCCCCTCCTCTCCCAACATAATCCCCTTTGGAGCTCAGGTTTGAGAATAAACACCAGACTCCCACCTTGGAAGTGGGTTGGACGGTGGGAGGAGTACAATATTTCAATAATTATTAGCCTGCCAGACACACATTCATACATTCAGCAAATATAAGTGTTTACTATGTGCCAGGCACATAATATGTGATTTTGTGTCAGAGACTTTGAAGACACAATCATGAGTGAATAAAAAACAGTTCCAGCGATCAAAGTTTACCTAGTCTAATGTGGGGCAAATATATTAATCCTCACAAATAAAGTGTAAATATAAACTTCAGTGAAATGAAGGCAAAGTGCAAAGAGCTATGAGAACATGTAACATGGGAACTGACTCATGTTATGGTAGGACTTCCTCATGGATGGGGTAACCATGTAATTTATCATTTACACTGGGATGCTTTTGAGAGTGAAAGGGAGAGCTGTTAGTAATTAGGCTAAGACGAACAGAGGTAAAAAGACTATCCCAGGCAAGTCAGGACATGGTCACTGCAGTAATAAAAATCTTTACTGAGTGAGACTTGAAGGTGAGAATTACTTAGGTGAAGGTGGTGAGGATGAATGAGTAGACCTGTGTGTTTTTTCCAGCTAGATGGAATAGCGTGTATAAAAGCCTTTTTTAAAAAATAAATTTTTATTGTTCAGATTATTACAGTTGTTCCTCTTTTTCCCCCCCATAGCTCCCTTCACCCGGTCCCCCCCCCATGCCCTTACCCGCCCCACTGTCCTCGTCCATAGGTGTACGATTTTTGTCCAGTCTCTTCCCACACCCCCCACACCACCTTCCCCCCGAGAATTGTCAGTCCACTCCATTTCTATGCCCCTGATTGTATTCTATTCACCAGTTTATTCTGTTCATCAGATTTTTTATTCACTTGATTTTTAGATTCACTTGTTGATAGATATGTATTTGCTGTCACTTTGTTGTTCATAATTTTTATCTTTACCTTTTTCTTCTTCTTCCTCTTCTTAAAGAATACCCTTCAGCATTTCATATAATACTGGTTTGGCGGTGATGAACTCCTTTAGCTTTTTCTTATCTGTGAAGCTCTTTATCTGACCTTCAATTCTAAATGATAGCTTTGCTGGGTAGAGTAATCTTGGTTGTAGGTTCTTGCTATTCATCACTTTGCATATTTCTTGCCACTCCCTTCTGGCCTGCAGAGTTTCTGTTGAGAAATGAGCAACAGTCGTATGGGTACTCCCTTGTAGGTAACTAACTGTTTTTCTCTTGCTGCTTTTAAGATTCTCTCTTTGTCTTTTGCCCTTGGCATTTTGATTATGATGTGTCTTGGTGTGGTCCTCTTTGGATTCCTCTTGTTAGCGGTTCTCTGCCCTTCCTGGACTTGTAAGTCCATTTCTTTTACCAGGTAGGGGAAGTTTTCTGTCATTATTTCTTCAAATAGGTTTTCAATATCTTCCTCTCTCTTCTTCTGGCACCCCTATAATTCGGATGTTGGTACGCTTGAAGTTGTCCCAGAGGCTCCTTACACTATCTTCATATTTTTGTATTCTTTTTTCCTTTTGCTTTTCTGGTTGGGTGTTTTTTGCTTCTTTGTATTTCAAATCTTTGACTTGATCCTCTAGTCTGCTGTTGGATCTCTGTATATTATTCTTTATTTCAGTCAGTGTATGCTTAATTTCTGATTGGTCCTTTTTCATATCCTTGGGGGTCTCACTAAATTTCTCAGAGGTTTCTAGAAGATTCTTGCGTAACCTTATAACCGTGGTTTTGAACTCTATATCCAGTAGTTTGCTTTCCTCCATTTCTTTCATTTGTGACCTGTTTCTTTGTCTCCGCATTTTGGCTGCTTCCCTGTGTTGATAGAGTGGCTTTGTGTGCTAGGTGTCCTACAGGACCCAGTGGCTCAGCCTCCCCAATTACCTGAGGTGGACACTCTTGGTGCACCCCTTTGTGGGCTATGTGCACAGTCTTGTTGTAGTTAAGCCTTGATTGCTATTGGTATCACTGGGAGGAATTGACCTCCAGGCCAATTGGCTGTGAGGACCAGTTGTGTCTACAATGGGAGAACTGCTGTGCTGGAAACACCCTTATAGGGCAGGACTTGTTTTAGTGTGGCTTTGGCGCTCACTGAGTCTGCCCCCTGAGTGTGTCCCTTATGGATCTGAAGAGTTGTAATCTGGATGGTCTCACTCTGACCACTGAGTACACTGGCTCTTGGATCTCTAAGGAGGTGCAAAGTCAGCCACTGCCTGAGGCCACCCAGCAGGAACTACAGAGAGATCTGCAGATTCCTCCTCTTTGTTTGAGGTTTGGAGGTGCCCAGATGAGGCCCAGCTGTGAAGCAATGCAGGCTGCTGCTGCTGCCGGGCCTTAGGCCTTCCTTTGGAAGCTCTGGGGTTCTCTGACCCAGCTGCAGTTTAACAGGTTTTTAGGCAGAGAAAGGTGAGGCCATTTGTATGCAAAAGTCTTTGCACAGCCGAAACCGGTTTGGCTCAGTGGATAGAGCATCCGCCTGCGAACTGAAGGGTCGCAGGTTTGATTCCGGTCAAGGGCATGTACCTTGGTTG